AGGAAAACCCATGAAAAAAAACAGCAGTTTAGCGCCACCAGAGTTGTATTTGTAGAATTCCTACTTGTGGAATCAACTAAATTATGTATTGTTTGAGATGCCATGTGTCCTGTCCAGAAGACTGTTTGGAACCTATACGTTATCAGCTGCCTTTTTCACAATTATTCTGCCTATCAATTATCGTTACTATGAATAAACATATTTATCAAGTAGTGGCACATTATTCCATCTGCCATACATATATATGTATATATACATAATATGATCACCGACAAGCTGCGATAAATCCGATTGGACTGGATTGGATTCCCATTGATCGTCAAGGACAGCCTCAGCACATCGAGGGCTGCATGGGTCAACCATCTCAAACTACTGTTCCAACCAAAAAATAACACATGTAGTTTATCATGTATATATATACGTATATATATATATATAATAAAATATTATATACATAAGTATACATATACAGTATATATATAAGTATATGTATATAAGTATGTATATATATATGTATAATATATATATAATTCTACAGAGTACAGTGGTGGGGACCTCCCAGTTATGCTTGTTGGTTTGAAACAAAAACATGAACTATAGTTATAGTTAGCATAAACCCAAGAGTCACATTAGGCAAATAAACCAACTGCAGCCGTTGGGGGACCCCATCTTGTAGGCATGTCAGATATTATCATCATGTTCTCCAAGAAAAAATCCAAGAGGGTGCAGTTGGGGTGAAATAAACGGGCAGAACCATGGTAATAACCTCCATAAGCTGTGATACAATACAATGCCCACAACTATGGACCCCGGGAACTTGTTACATCTTGTTTGCTATGGTGTAGATAGCCTTAATATAATCCCCACAACTATGGACCCCGGGAACTTGTTCCAGTTTGCTACGGCTTACTGTAGATGGTCTCTTCGTATATAATTTATCTATCAAAAATTGTAATGTTCCACACATGTTAAATTTAACTTGATGTCAATGACACCAATGCTAGGTCGCTGGTGCGAGATCGCTATTGCATTGTGTGAGGCAATGTCCGCAAAGTCAGTGGCAGGATGTATAGCAGGTAGACAGGATGTTGCAAAATGGAGCCAGTAAAGCTAGGCATATCAAGGCCCTCTTTTGCAGCTTCTTCCAAACACCAAAGTCATACATCATGCATGGTTGAATCGTCAAGCCATTGTGTCCATGGACTGCTTTCAACCAAGGGATTGACTGAAGATCCAAGGTTGATCATGGTGGGCCTTTACGTGTTGCCTACGCGTTGGATGCGACGATGTTGGAAAGAGCCAATGATACCACCTCTTCCAGACCTTGTCATTTCTGGGAGAACCATGTGACAATGTCATGTAGCACCAATGCATGCATGCATAAATAACCAGAAATTACAATAGAATCGTAGAATCTCTATATATCAAACATTCCTCTAAGAAAAGAGAAAAGGGTAGCATTCACTCACCAACCACCAGCCAAAAAAAACGGGTTCCCGTCCCAGCAGCAATTTCGGTAGTTTCTGCAGCCTCTGAATACTGCCAAACTTCGCGATGCAATTTCCGTGCAAATACAATGCCTCGCACGGCCACCGTTGGCAACTGGACAGCTGGACAAGAGCCCGTTAAATCCGAATCCAACTATCCCATGTAGATCCATCTGCTGTGTACATATAACTGGATGAATTAGCACGGCTGACCATAGGTTTCAATCGCTTACCAAAAATGCGGGATGCTCATCCAAGTAGTACCCCAAAATCAATCATAAACCACAAGACTCTAGTGCAAGTAATTAGACGTTGAACGACCTCCCAAAGAATGTACTAGGGTAAACCTTCTCGCTTAAAAGTTGGCATGTCATGACCCATTCAATTAGCTCCACTATAAATCAGTTACTGTTGTGAAATAACACCGGTGTAGAGATCGTCATGATTTCTCTACACACCAGAAAACCGGTAAAATAAAATAAAACAACTTATCTAAGTACAGAGCACCAACTGGTAAGTAATGTACAACCTAATTCCTTTACTGGGATGACAATAATGGTCAGCTTCTAACCCTATTGTACTTGTAAGGTGTAGCAGTAGACAGACCAAAATTGGGCGGAAACGGAAAAATCCCATCCCGAAGCGTCTCCGATGGGTCAGCGCCATTCAGAGATCCACTTCTTGTGGGATTTCAGCCATCAATCGTAATCCTTGTTTGGCTTGTGACAATGACATCAATTTGACATTGCTTTATCAACATTAGAAAACCAAATGTTGATTAAGAAACAATATCATAATTAATGTGACAATTTATGTCATTTTATATCAATTGATCAATGACATTGCTTTACCAACAACATTTAACAACAATAAACAGACGTTTTTTTGGGGGGCCAGCTTGTGGGATACGATGGCAGTCCCCCACAACGTCGGAGGGTCCTTGCCACTTGGAGTTTGTGCTTGGTAGCCTATGGTAAGCTAAGAGTTTGCCAACTGGAAAATCACCATTTTTAGTAGGTCAATCATCCATGAAAAAGCCATCTATAGCATAGCATAGCTGTGTATAGCATACTGGAGTGGGGTTAGAACTGATCAATATTCTGCAGAATCATCATCCACAAGGAGGAACATCACACTGCTTAAGGTAACCATAGGTATAACACATTTATATGCACAATATATATATATATATACTATTTTATTGTATCATATTACTATATTATATTTTATCATATAAAAATATATTATATTATATTAAACCCGATCACTTAAGGAACTTGTGATCACCAGCTCTATCTTTCACATCCAAAATTCCCCCGGCATCCCCTGGCGCAGCTCCGCCTTGAGTTGCACGAATTTCAGCAGCTCAGCATCCACCGAAGACAAACTGTTGAACGAGACGTCCTGGTGAGGTCGCCGACACGAAATCAAGAACAGGTTGACTTCACCATAAGATGAATAAGATGGTTGGCTGGTTGGTGGTTGAGCATACCCCTCTGAAAAATGATGGAGTTCGTCAGTTGGGATGATGAAATTCCCAACATATGAAAAAGTAAAAATGTTCCAAACCACCAACCAGTTGGTATGCCATACTTGGATTTGCTGATTCGGGGTTACCAAAAAATAAAACAATATTCACTTAATCGATTCCCCAGTCATGGTGGATTTTCCATTGGGAAAATAACACATCACCTTAGACAAACCCATGTATACCTTCTGGTAATTTAACATATAGCTATTGAACATTGCCTATTATAGTTGATTTACCGAACTTAAAGATGGTGATTTTCCAGTTCGCTATGTTACAGTTATGGCCCAACCAACAGTTTTGGCCATGGGATGGACTAACTCCTATAACTAGTTGGTTTTATATCATGAAATAAGCCCATAAAAATAACGGTTAGTTGGGCCATAACTGTGGTGAATTCGGATACAACGAACTATAGTATTCGTGGGGTGAATCTGAACCAACTTATGGTGTTGTATGCTCAATGGTGCTGCTATATTTACCAGTATTTACCTATAGATGACTGGTAATTTTGGGGGTAGAGGTGAAATCCCCAACATGCAACCGTAACAAAAATGATCCTGGCAGGAAGTTCCCACCGTAAACCCCCAAAAGATAAAACCGAACAAACCATCAGTATTGTAGCTTTGACTTGTCTTAATTTGGGGTCATACATACATACATGCATGCAGGCATGCATACATTACATTACATTACATTACAATACATTACATTACATTACGTTACATGACATTACATTACATTACATACATATATATATATAATTATATATATATATACCCTATGGATCCATGGCCACTGTCTGAGAAGGTGCTTAACCCTCCAAATTATAGGAAATTATACCCCAAACACTTCCTAAGAAGGTACTTGGATCCATAGGGATATATAAACTCGATCATCCAAAGCTTAGCGGCTTAGCGCTTCACTCGATCATCCACTTTGTCCAGCGCTTCACTCGATCATCCAAAGCTTAGCGGCTTAGCGCTTCACTCGATCATCCACTTTGTCCAGCGCTTCACTCGATCATCCAAAGCTTAGCGGCTTAGCGCTTCACTCGATCATCCAAGTTGCCATACCTACGGTGCTGATGGACTTGGGTGGGCGGTTGTGAGCCACTTGGTGTAAGCAAGCGACGATGCCTTCCACATCCCGGGCGGCCACCATTCGCTTCAAGCGAAGGGTGTGTCTAAAAGTCCCTCTGGATAGACGTGGAAAGCCCAAAAACCATGGGGAATCCCGCCAAGGCTATGGCTGGATAGGAGTATCACAATTGAAAAATTTCCATTGAAATGGCTCTAGTTATAGTGTATCACCATTAAACTGGCTATCTATTGTATTAATATATACTATAAGTATATATATATATATATCATATTATATATCACTATAGTACCATTAGAATGGCCTAATCCCTCCGGTGTCAAACGTGACGGGTTGGTTTCTATCTCCACACTGTTTATGGAGGTTTCATTCGCTGGATTTGCCATTGCCAGGTTTGATCAGAGGCTACCCATTTTGGGAAATACCTGGCTTTTTTCCGTGTGCATATAAAGATAATACCCTAAACACTGGGAAGAGCCAGTAAAAATGGGTCCCAATGTGGAAAAATCCAGATGTTTTGGGGAAATTCCAGTTCGTGCATCATCAAACAGAGCCAGATGGCAATTCTCCATCCAGGATTTAAGATTTCAGCTGTAAAGATCCATACGCCATACTACAATGTGCCCCCCCCAGTGATGTAAGTTGGTTTATAAGCCCCAGTAACTATAGTTATTTGCATACCATAAACCATAGTGAAATTGGAGTTATAAACCAACTTAGCTATCTTGGGGGCCTCACATTGTATGCAATGCAAATCCTGGTGGGGCCTTCTGGTTGTAACTGGGAGTAAATCCGAATTTTATCTAAAAAGATATGATATGATATCTGATTGGTGGTATACCTACCCCTCTGAAAAATGATGGAGTTCGTCAGTTGGGATGACGACATTCCCAACTGAATGGAAAGTCATGATCCATTCCATGGTTCCAGTCACCACCAACCAGATATCATCCCCTTGGAGAAGTTGGTTTATCTCCAGATAGTAAACCATCAATCATCAACCCCAAGCATAAACCTCCACTCAGTGATTGTTTATCAACACAAAACACTGTTTGTAAACTTATAGTTCTAATTTATAATCTTTATAAACCATGCAATTAAGATTCATCAAGATCCATTACCCTCTGGTAAACCAACAGTTCGCTATTGAACATGGCCATAGAAATAGTGGATTTACCCATTAAAAATGGTGATTTTCCATAGTTACGTTAGTTTACCAGAGGGCCAGAGGGTAAGTATCAGTGATTATTTGTATATCATTATCTTGGATTTGCTGATTCGGGGTTCTCCCCCCCAAAAAAATCTTCACTTACTCGATTCCAGAGTCATGGTGGATTTTCCATTGGACAAAGCTGTGACCCGCCCCGCTCAAACCGCTCCAGCCACTGGAGGTTCTGCAAGGGCGAGTACATGGCACTTTCAAGCGCTGCCTCTAAGCCATTCCTCGGATCCCCGTGGTTGGCGTGTTCCGCACGGATTTCATCTGGTGGTTGAGCCCTAGCCCTCTGAAAAATGATGGACTGAAAGTCAGTTGGGATGATTGTTCCATTCCCAACTTTTTATGGGAAAAAAACATGTTCCAAACCACCAGATAAACCATACCCGGTCGCACTCATGATTCAAGTTTGAGGATCGATGCGGCTTCACCTGATGCACGGCCCCCCATGCGACCAGAACATTCGCTGTGTCAGATTGTCATACTTGGGGGGTTCCATAAATAGGGCTACCCCCAAATCATCCATATTTACATTGGATTTTTCGTTGTAAACCATCCAGTTTGGGAAACCCCCCATTTATGGAAACACTCAATTTTGTATACCCAATGTGAGTAGAACCAATGGGGTTCTAACGACTTTTCAGGTCAGGAATTTGCTTGGAGGATCATCCGATCATCCCGCGGATCAACAACGTGGTTTATATGTTATAATAAGCCTAGGTTTTTGCGGGGCAACATCCCATTTGTTAACTGGTTGGTGGTTGAGCCTACCCCTCTGAAAAATGATGGACTTCGTCAGTTGGGATGATTGTTCCATTCCCAACTTTTTATGGAAAGTCATAAAATTCCATGGTTCCAGTCACCACCAACCAGTGTTATAACTTATGTCTAAGGTTACTAACCAGTTATGCCTAGGATGATCCAAACCCGGTTCCAAACTAGTGGGTCTCATCAGGGCTTTGTATCATCCCCTTCCAAATCCCTTGGGCCAACAAGGATAAAATATACCTATATATAGACCTTCCAAAGTTCAATAATGTCTGTTCTTTTGGGCCAGGTATATGTTCAATTATCAATGCCACTAACCAACAAGGGATGTCAAACGCCACTGACCCAAAACGTTTCAGGTCGTAGCGTCAACGTTTCCAACATGTTGTTGTTGAGCTTCACCTGCCAACAAAAACGTGGAATTCCGAGCTTTCGTGACGTGGTGGAATTGTTTTTTTCGTGGAATTGGGTCCGTTGTGGATTTATAAAACAGAGGAAACAACATCGGAAAACATGTGCAATTCAGGATTCATCTGGATGGAAATAAGACCTATATTTCCTGACCATGATGCACAATTGCAGTATAGTATACCCAGATACTCCATGTATGGAATATTTACCTACCAATTTGTTCATTTTTGGGGTAAATGTAGGTAAATATTCCATACATGGAGCATCTGGGATATCATTCATGTAGATTTCTCATGATGCGTCTATATAATATATAATCGAATATGATGTGTCCAAGCAGTTGAAAGGGATGACATTTGGGGTAAGCAACGGGGTGTTCTTTGAGTCACCTGAAGTGCATGATGATGCATGACAACTTGGGGCAATGAAACAGGTGCTTATTATTTGGGCTTGTTACACCACAAAAAGCACAACATACCACAACAAAAATTAATTAATGTGGTTAAAGCAATAATAAACCATCCCCCAGTCACCAAAAATAGTTGGTATGTTTACCTTTCCCAGTCATGGGTGGTTTATGGCATTGAATCCCCACAGCGGTCAGCAGTGCTGGTGGGGGGCCAGTCATTCTGCATGGCTGGCTGCTTGCTGACCCAAGAAACCTTGCAAAAATCAGACATCTGCTGAACATCTTGGAAGAGCCTCTGCATCACGTGACATCCTGAGCCTCTATATATATATAGATATACATATATATATAATATACTGTATATATATATATGTATATATAGAGGCTTGAAAACAACAAGCAGAAGCTTCTCAGTTTTCGGAAGCCTTCCAGTTGCTGCACGAAGCTCTCCAAACGCGCAATCAGTGCCAGGCACAAGCACTGCTTGTGTCGCCAATCCGTTCATCAAACAGTGCGTTCGCAAATCTGAAACAACGCCGTAACGCAAGCCGGGTAACGAGCTGAATGCTGTGTAGGCCATCACGGAAAGAACCTACAGTAAATATGGTTAGACAATTTGACAACGAGCATTTTCTACATATATTCCCACTTCTAGGGTTTTATGTTTGGTTTCAACTTTCTCAAGCAGAAAGAGTACCTCGCAGAAAAGAATACCAGTCCAATATTGTTGAAGCAATCGCCAATCAGGTAGAACATTATAGAATATGTTGAATAGACTAAGCATCACTGAGAATGGAATTAGGCCCCTCCGCATCAAGATTCTATGGTCCGATTTTTCCGGGGAAGTCTGCGGTGTTTTCTTGTCATATGTTTGCACCATACTATTGGTTCCTTGTTATTCTTTTAAACGGAAGCTGGAAGTATGATCCCACATATGAAGCTCCCCATTTACGGAACGTATTTAACAAACTGCCCATGTTTAAAATTCGGAAACAGAATCGTGTCCCAGAACCCCAAAATCTCCCACCAAAATTGTGTCCTGACATCTTGGACACCATATCGGAAAAGGTCATCTAAGATATCTACATTCATACATTTGTTTGTGCAGTTCCAGTTATGATTGGATAATATATATATATAACATATATAGTTATATAAATTGTCAACCATAGCTATAGGCCCCATATCCCAAAAAATGCGGGTTTGGTTCACCATGGGCGCCACAGGCCGACGTAACCGAGTTGGCCGTCCCGAGGTATGCCGAATCCCCCAAGACGAGGCCGTCTTGAACACCCTGACGGTCACAACCTTCCCATCAAAGATCTTGCCGAAAATAGCTGAAACTTGGCACCATTTGGGCAGGGGATGATTCCCCTGCAAAAATTAACATCATTCCATGCATTCCATTCTGGTTGGTGGTGCAATTTCACCATCTTGAAAAATCATGGAGTTCGTCAATGGGAAGGATGACATCCCATATATGAAATGGAAAATAAAGGTAATGTTCCAAACCACCAACCAGTATATATATACTATGAGTATAAGTGGACTACATAACCTATAGGTAGACTTATATCCAAACCACCAACCAGCATTGATTGGATGATTATGGGGTCTCCCATCTTCATCCCGGTGGTCATCATTAAGGTCGAACCAACATGAAAGTCTCAGTTGGAGTAGTTGGCATACGAATTAGAACCACAATGATATGTCAACGAAGACCTACACAAAGGTGGTCAATACCCAGAAGAAAACAATATTACCCTCTGGTAAACTAACATAACAATGGAAAATCACAATGTTCAATGGGTAGATCAACTATAACTGGTCATTTTCAATAGCTCTGTTAGTTTACCAGAGGGTATTTCGCTTTTTTGGGGCTCATCCTATGATTGAAAATACAACACCCCCAATCGAGATTTCATCCCCGTTTGCGCCCAGTGACACAGGTGGTGATTTTGCGAATCACCACTTTGCGGTCCCTGCGTCAGAGTGGCGTCTCAGGATGGTTTACCATGGCAAACACCATCATTTTCTCCTATTTTCGGACAAGCAAAAAGAATTTTACATGCTTTTACCATAATTTTACCATAATTTTCTCCTATTTAGGATGATTGCGGATCTATTAAAAGGATAATTCTCAGAGGAATATTTGCAGGAAACAATTGTGACCAGCCACACCTGGGAACTTGTTCAACTTGTTCAATGCTTGGGATGGTTCCTCTAAAACAAGCCTAAAAAATGGAACAACATACTAACCACATATCATATGTGTTTTTTGTGGTGGTTTCCTAAAATAGGGCTACCCCCAAATCATCCATTTTGGATTGGGATTTTCCATTATAAACCATCTATTTTGGGGTACCACCATTTATGGAAACCCCCATATATATATATGTAAATATTATGCAATCGAAATAGAATTGAATCATATCAACTCGAGATTAATAACCCTTGGTTTCATGAGAAGGTTTTAGTTTGAACAACGGATTATTATCATCAAACATAATTCAAAATATCTTACAGTTTGAGAGTAATCTATCCTATTCAATCCGGAATCGACAACAACTCCATCACATTCTACGGAGTATTTTTGCACATTGGTCAGCCTGGTCTTTGTGACCCATAGTTAGCTAAACTGGAAAATAGTTGGGGTTTGCACACGTTTCTGGTTATTGTACTTATATAACAATTTAAATTAGTTATTAATTAATATGGTAATTGACTAAGTTAACCTGGATTTATGGTGGATATATCGTTAAATTAGATGAATCTAGACACCCCAAATAACTTTGTGGTCCCACCTTGTAGAAGTGTAGTAAGGTGCATTGCTTAGCCATGATTCCATAGTCCCCTCTAAGTGACGTTCCAAACTTTTTTGAACCCTGGCAGTGATCTACACTCTTCAAGCCTTTCCAGAACAGTTTCTTTTTCGTTGAATCTTGATCTAAAATCAAAAAATCACAAGGTCTTTGTTCTTAAATCATCTAAATTCATCCAAAATCATGTGCAATCATCTAAAATCATCTAAAATCATCTAAAATCTCTAAAATCTCTAAAATCCTCAGGCCACACATCGAAAATCAGTTATCCCTTGCTATCCCCATGTTGTCTCGAACAAATCTCCGAGACTCCGGACAGACCGCTGGAGTTATTCCCAGCCGTAGTCTCCTCGTGTTTTCGATTTGTGGATTCAACCAATTGGTGCAGGACTAAGGTGAAAACATATTAAAAATGGGCTGAAAAGCCATGAAAAATGGTGATTTCATAGGGATCAATGGGGATGAAAAGTGGTGATTCCAATCAATGGGAGATCTTCAGGATCCTAAAATGGAGGTACGTAAACGTACCATATTTTTGGCCATCTTTTGTGGGGATATTGAAATTTAGGCCTAAAATATAGGCCAAACATATATGGAATCGGTACCTCCAATAATTCGGTTCCTATTGCATGGCCATTGATTCCAATGGTGATTCCAATGGAGATCCAACCAGACTTTCTGCAAGGTGATTTCACTGGACAGTTACGTCCAACTAACGAAAGGGTGGAGTTGACGGGGATTTCACCTTGAAAACTATTCATGATACACAACCTACAATGTGAGGCCCCCAAGATAGCTAAGTTGGTTTATAACTCCAATAACTATGGTTTATGGTACTTATAACTACAGTTACTGGGGCTTATAAACCAACTTATAACTGGGGGGCCTCACATTGTAATAATGTTGATAAAAATAATTAAATTAATTATTACTCTTACTCTTGTTCACTAATAATGCACCTTATGCCTCTTTTTCTCTGATTAAAGAAAATTTTGTGTTTTTGCAACTAACCCAGCCGACTCAGCAGGTGACGAGAGAATTTTTGTTGGTTTATGACCACCATTTTCATGAGTTCGATGAACCAAAAACCACCGTTAATGAGTTCGATCTACCCTCTGGCAATTTAACATAGCTATTGAAAATTGTGATTTATAGTGGATTTTCCCATTGAAAATGGTGATTTTCCATGGTTATGTTAGTTTACCAGAGGGTACCATAAACCCAAACATGAAAAACAATCGGGAGTTGTGTAGATCCCAACAAGACGCGACAACTCGTGACTTCAGGGCACCACCGACTGTACTCCTGACATTTCCCGTCTGACTATCCCAAGATTATTCCTATATGAAAAACAAGGTTGAACCATACAAGTAGAACATTTAACATAGACCCGGGCAAGCCGGCGGCGGAAGTTTCCCAAACATAAATGACCTATAGTTCAAAGACACCCTGTCCTGACCGTGTCCTTCCCTCGACAACCGTTTGATTTTTTCAGCGAGAGACGAAGCAAAGTCTTCACACTCCACACTTCACACTGCACTCTTCGCACTCCAAACTTCAAACTTCACACTCCACACTTCACACTTCACACTTCACACTTCTCACTTCTCACTGCTTCCTTCGCACTCCAAACCTCACACTTCACACTTCACACTTCACACTGCGCTCTTCGCACTCCAAACTGAAACTTCACACTCCACACTTCACACTCCACACTTCACACTTCAGACTTCACACTTCTCACTGCTTCCTTCACACTCCAAACCTCACACTTCACACTTCACACTGCGCTCTTCGCACTCCAAACTTAAACTTCACACTCCACACTTCTCACTTCCCACTGCTTCCTTCACACTGCACACTTCACACTGCACTCTTCACGCCCCACACTTCACACTGCTCTAAACCTACGTGCAACAAAAAAACACTAGCGCCCAAAATGGAGAAAATCTTCTAACAAATCCATTTCGCAGCCTTCATGCAGCCAGTCCAAGACGATGTACGAGATCCAGCTGCAAAAGACATTACGCATGCAGCCAAAGCAAGAAGCAACCTTGACGCAGCCATTCCAATGCGATCTGCAGAGACTGAGTTGCAAAACACAAGAGAACTACGCGCAACGGCGTCGGAAATTGTAGCTCCAAAATCGGGTCTCGACGCCAGAGCGAAAAAAAACGATTTTGAAGCACTTTTTAAAAGGATTTTTAGAAGGAAAATCACTAGCGCCAAAATGGAGAAAATCTGCTAACAAATCCATTTCGCAGCCTTCATGCAGCCACTCCAAGACGATTTACGAGATCCAGCTGCAAAAGACATTACGCATGCAGCCAAAGCAAGAAGCAACCTTGACGCAGCCATTCCAATGCGATCTGCGGAGACTGAGTTGCAAAACACAAGAGAACTACGCGCAATGGCGTCGGAAATTGTAGCTTCAAAACCGGATCTCGACGCCAGAGCGAAAAAAAGACGATTTTGAAGCACTTTTTAAAAGGATTTTTAGAAGGAAAATCACCAGCGCCAAAATGGAGAAAATCTGCTGACAAATCGCTGTCGCAGCCTTCATGCAGCCACTCCAATACGATTTACGAAGTCCAGCTGCAAAAGACAATAGTATTACGCATGCAGCCAAAGCAAGAAGCAACCTTGACGCAGCCATTCCAATGCGATCTGCGGAGACTGAGTTGCAAAACACAAGAGAACTACGCGCAATGGCATCGGAAATTGTAGCTCCAAAACCGGGATCTCGACACCATAGCGA